GTAAAAAATACTATGTGATATTAAATAGTGATACAAACGTCAATTTTTTTCCATAAAATTTGTCACTTTTTAATAATAAAAAAAGCGACACAATGTCACTTTTAAAAGTTAAGTGTCATTTTTTTACTAAAAAATGACATACAATGTCACTTTTATTAAAAAATGATGTATGTCACTAAAAAAGTAAAGAAATTAAGTGGTTGTTGAAAAAAGTGACAATTTTTTTTTTAAAAAAAAGTGACAAAAATAAAAAAAAAAAGTGATAAAAATTAAAATTAAAAAAGTGACGAACTCAAATAAGTGACATAAATTAAAAAAAGTTAAACAAATTTAAAAAATGACAACAATTTTATTGATATAAAATCACTTAAACAATTTCAAACAAATACAGTAATGTCACTGAAAATGAAAACAATCACTCCACAAACTATTTTTCCGGCAGCCACTTTTCTCTCACTTACCTATTGTCTCTCCTTAAATCACTCCCTCTATATATTATACAATGCCGCTCTCTTTCTCTCTTGTTCTTCCTGCTTCTCACACACTTAAATGCAGCAAACATATAGAAGAGATATAGAACAATGAAAATTAATTGTTGACTTTGACTTTAATTAAAATCAAAATTTTAATCACCACTTAACATGGGCCGAGTGTGCTTCTATATGTCCTTGCTTTTGCATGAAGAGATATAGAACAATGCTCTCTCTCTTTCTTCATATCCATGGCATCTATAAAAGTACTGGCAGTCTTAAAAGTCGATTTTGATGCTAAGAGACGGGATGTTTGTGTTGGAGGAAAGAGGGATTTACTAATTTGGATTGGCTAAGACTTTAAGAAGGACAACACTAATGGAAAGAAGGAAGTGAACAATAAGGAAACTTGTATTTCACAACTCCAAAACTTACACACTTGGTTCGTTATAAAATGGAGGACCCTACCTTTTTATATGGTATTTACATGAAATTTCTTGTCCATACAATTTTCTAAAGACTTCTGGACCACATATTTACATGAGACTTTTAGATCACTCATTTGGACAAGATATATTCCCAGAATACTCTAAATAAATTTTATAAGATCACATATTCTTCTCGACACATTACCATATTTATCACCACATATATTACTTAAATATTTATATAGATTTTTGTAGTAGATATTTATATAGATTTCTTTAGACAATGTTTCTAGAAATGCTAGACATGTTGAGGCTTTTTAATTGATTTTGGCCTATGAGCAAAATCCTTAAACTCGTATTATTTAGTTCAAAAATCAAGTTTACTACTCAACAGTTTGAAGCACAATTTCTCTCTTATTTTATATATTCAATATTAATATCCTTTTAACTCCTCCATGGCTCAACCTAAAGGACTGGAGCCACGAACTATCTTAGGTTAAAATATTGACTACAAAGATTTCGATCAGAAGAACAGGATGTGAAATGCGGCAAAAATGGCTAAGAAACAACATGTTCATGGAAAATAGCAGTGCCTCTTGGTCCCCATTCTTCATAATGGAGCATTAATCTTTCATTTTAGTAGCACTTGGATCCTTAGTGGACAATTTTACCCTTACATTTAATTAATAAGCTAAAACCATGTTGAAAAATAGGCTGACCCTTATTTTCAAATAAACAACAAAAAATGATGAAAAACGAAAAATGAAAAAAGAAAATATCAACTTTCGACTCTGATTTATCATTTACATATAATTGATTTTACAAACCAAATATATTGTAATTAATTTACCAGTGGAGAGATTGCGTTCAACTATATTTGTTGACCCCAGAGTATGTTGCCAACAGATATCGGACTCACCTACGCACACGCAAACCTAATCCAACACGTTAAGACACGTGGACGATCTGGGACGAGCAGATCGAGGGTGTTGGAACGACTCAAAGGCACGGGACGACAACGTTCGAAATCCGACAAGATTTGTATAATAATTGTACAATAATTACCATTCGCAGTTTATAGAATGTGTATGTAATCTTGAATTATCTTTGTGAGAGAGAGTAAAAGAAAGAATATTGTTTCTTGTATTGAATCTTGCATTATCCTTTGTATGGGGTACATGAGGAGTATTTATAGTGTTACAAGTTAGATCATGACCCTCGGTTGAGAGTACACGTGGTCTTATCTTGTTAGTTTACATGTCAAATTGTAGATATCAAGTTTGACCACCTAGCTTGTTATACATTTATTAATTGGTAGAGTCGTCGCTACTTTGACAAGACAAGACATTTGCACTTTATGATAGGTGTCCCATCAATCATTCAAAGATGATTCTTATGTAAGATTGGATCTCTGGAGAGAAGTGATGCCAATTGTCCTGGGCTTCGGTTTCGGTATACTGGGCATCGATATGAAGAGCCTCGGCCATATGCACCACCTCGACTACTGTACTTCGGCAACAACGATAATCTCACCAAATTTGTTTAATGGGACCCACTCGAATATTTGGTGAAATATTGTCAAGACCAATTTGGTAAAATCCATTTCCAACACTTTCAACTAGAGGTACCATTGAAGATAATTATGATTTTTTTTATTGTATGAATTTTGAATTATACACACTTTTTTTTTGGAGTTAAATTGGGTTGAATAACTCTGTTGTCTCTAAACTTTTTCAAACATATTTCAATTATCATCGAAATTTAAAAAAAAATAAAATTGTTTTTTTGAGTTACTACTGCAATCTTCCAAATATTAATTGTCATTTTAACTTCATTTTTTTCTTTTTTGTTACCTAGAAAACTCACTGAAATACTATCTCAACCCTTACTTTTAAAGTTAATAGTATTGATGGCATGTTGGATGAAATGACACATGATAACATTTTGTTAATTTTATATAAGAGAAAAATGTTTAAATAGAACGTAATAGCAATTTTAAACTGATATAAAATAAAGAAGTCAAATGAAAAATAATATTTACTTTTTGCTGAAACAACACGGGAAATTTGTTACGAAAATAAATTTGAGGAGAAGTCTTTGCAATTTTGTAGGAGGAAAAAAACTTCTACGTCTTTATCCTAGTCATTAGCCTCCAAAAATGTCTATGTAATTTGCTCCAATAAAAATCTATAGCGTTGACTTCAATTTATATAGATGATGTGAGCAATTAATACCTTATCCCTCCTAGATTGAACGTTTCTCTCTTTATTTAAGAAATTACAAACCCCTTGCACGGTCTCACATGGGATGAGATTGAGATTTTTTTTTTTTTTATATTGCCTCGAGACTCGCATGTGGCCAACCCATGAGAGGGGTCTATAAGACCCCTGTGAAATGACACCCTGTACATAGGGCTTTACTTTTATTTAAGTAATATTGAAATTATTTCATGCCTCATTAATTTGAAATCCTTTTAAGCTTAGCCAAACATACTCCATTCACAAGGAATGAGACCAAATACTAAAAGAAATGAGATGTTGGAGGTTTCAAGTCCGTTTTCAGGACTTTTATCCCTACTTCTTGTAAAAGAGTTTTATAAAGAAACTATCTTAGACCAACTTCATTTAATAAAAGCAACTTCTTTATTTTAAAAATGACTTTTGACTTTTAAAAACTTTACAAAACGGGCTCTTCATAAAAGAGGACATATCACACACCATCGATTAAAGATTGATGAAGCCAGCAAGTTTGAATTTCTCCTCTCGATGTCAAGAAATAAGACATTGGCACACTTTTTTTTCAAGGTTTACCATGATCCGGTAATATAGACAAGAATGCCTTCTTGACAGTCTTCATTCTAGAATAACTCCCAGACCCCCATAAGCTTCCACTTCCAGTGCCGAAACACAACTTTGAAATCGGAGAATTCCCTCCCTCGTCAACCGTATCCTCTTCTAATCCAGGACAGGGTGCTGATCTTGAATGCCGCTTCGTAAATAGCCTATTCATTGGTGTCGAGGGCAGTGAATACGAGGAAGAACACGATGATGAAGACGGAGATGATGAAATGTCCATTTTTTTGGAACCGAATACGGAGTGAAAAACATTGGACTTCGAAACCTTGTGCATGGACTTCATTTGGGGACTAAATTGATAAGAAGGTGGCGGCGTAAGTGGCGGAAGAGGGGCGTCGGAAATTGACTGCTTAGGGGTACCGGGCTGAGACTCCCACGTGAACGGCACAGCACCGGCAGCGCCACCGTAGTACAAGATTCTAAAAGAAGCCTCCCCCTTCGAATTTTCCCTGCATAAGAAATTTTCATTCAGCTTAATTTGCATGAATTTTGGAGTATAACCATAGCCCCAATGGCCAGTTATCATTTCAGAATTTGCTTTTGCCATTGCTTATGGGAATTGGGAACTGGAAAAATGACTAGTTTAAGATCTCAATGGAGCAGTAAACTGAAAGAGAGAAGAATAAATAGCACACAGCCCAACTAACATGTTTGAAAATGGCTTTGCTACATGCACAGGTCAAAGCCTACCATTTTTGGCACAGCCAATTAAAGGGAGAAAACTGTCTCCCTATAATTACCTTGTGAGTTATTACCTTGAAAAAAGCTTTAAAAATTTCTATTAATAAAAAAAATTATTCTAAATTAAGTAATCGTATTAATCAAATTTGAAAATAGAAAATTAGGATTTAGCTAGCACAATTTTGGGTCTCTATTGTTCAAAAATGAGATTTCTGGTCCAGAATTTGTGAACCTGGATTCATGCATGACGAAACTGTTAATATATATCACATGCAATTTTCACTTGTCTTTAAGCTAGACGTTAAATTGATTTCACATATTTAAATAAATTGAGAATTTGCAACCTCAATTGTGGAGGTTGGAGACTTAGAATTAGGAAAGAAAAGATAATGTATCCTAATATTATTAAAAATAATAAATGACTTGAAAATAAGTTCATGTAACTTTCTGGAATTAATCTATTTGTACCCGGGCCTGTAACCCGCCCCTCACATTGGGGGCGGGGCTTGTGCACAATAAATGCTTGGGACCCGCCTCAAGTGAGGGGCGTGTAACCGGGCATGTAAACACCTGAGTACATGTAGCTTAGCCACCGCTTATTGACGACCGAAACACTTAAGTTTGGAAAATGGTAAATTAATTGAATGAATTGATATTTTCCAGATGATTAATGGTAATAAAAATAAGTTTATTTAACTTTTTGAGCTTATTCGCCGCTTATTGACTCAAACTTCAAGTCTGGAAAATGGTAAATTCGTTGAAAGAATTGATCAATCGATATTAATGGACAATTAATATGAATAGTGTTGACTTGAGACGATCAAAAAGTGCCCAAATTGCATTAGTAAGCAGAACATTAGTCACCGCATTATTAAATAAGATTTAATACGTTAGGCCACTTGTTAGATTTTTTTTTTTTAATTTTAATTTTTACTTAATTTTTCTTACTAGAATTAAATTTATTGCCTAACCCACAGTTAATGATTTTTACATAAAATGACATTTCTTAATGCTAGTCAAATTGAACGTGCAATTATAAAAGAATTTATAAATATTGTAAATGTAATATTTGAATATGCGTAAAATGTTAAATTAATTTAGAATTAATACGAGGAAATATATATGTGACAATGAATATTAAATCGTTTATTTAATTTTCAATTAAGTAAAATTGGATGTTAATTAGCATACATGAATATGAATAATGAAATGAATTTCGAATTAACTTATAATTAGAATTAATAACGTTGAAATGCGAAAATGAATATGGATGTTAATTAATTGAAAAATAATAATAAGAAATTCACGCATTAATAAAAGCACACGAGTGAAATAAATTTGTCAAATGTACATGTACATTGAAAGTAACTACATGGTTAAGTAAATTAAATACATATTGAAAAAAAAA